GCTACATCTTTTCTCTGACGCCAGTGACATTGGATATGGAGTCGTGGCTTATCTCCGTCTCACAAATGAAGTTAATAGGGTTCATTGTGTCTTGGTTATGGCCAAGTCTAGAGGTACCCCATTGAAGAAGATAACCATTCCTAGAATGGAACTCACGGCAGCTGCCCTTGCTCTATGACTGTCTGGCATGATCACTCAGGAGCTTCAGTACCACATAAATGGCACGATATTTTGGACACACAGTATGTCTGTCTTAAGATACATCTCAGTGGAGATTCGTTGACACAAAGTCAAATCCTGCACACTATGCTTCAAGGGGTATAAATCTTGGCAATCAAAAGCAGATGAACTGTTGGTTCAATGGGCCAATTTTTTTTGGGCAGCCTGAAGCTGATTGGCCTAAGTCAGAAATCATGCTGAGTACTTCAATGCAAAAGGACCCTGAAGTGAAGCAAGCTGTGAACTATGCTCCTTTACATCCAGACAATGGTGTGTTTTTTAGCAGACTTGTAGACCACTATTCCAGCTGGAGAAAATTGAAAAGAGCAGTCGGATGGTTCATTCTAGTTGTGAGAAAGCGTCGACAGAAGAATTCGCATCATAAAGATTAACACAAAAATGACTCTGGCAAGTATCAGATGTCTACTGATGTGCTTCAGAGTGCTGAAAAGATACTGATTCAAAACTGTCAGTGTCAACACTTCACAAAGGATCTTGAAATCTTGAGAGAAAAGAATTTCTCACTCTCGGGTAAGACATTAAGAAAGACCAGTGCCTTATACAAGCTTGATCCATTTCTTGAAAATGACGTTATTCGAGTTTGCGGACGCCTGAGAAATCCAAGATCAACTATGAATCAAAGCACCCAATAGTATTGCCAAAGTACTGTCATCTGTCTAACCTTATAGTTAATGATGCTCACAAGGCAGTTGGACATCTTGGAAAGAATGCTATTCTTGCCCATCTCAGGCAGAGGTTCTGGATAATTGGAGCCAGATCTATCATCAAATCACAGCTTGCAAAATGTGTAATTTGTCGTAAGTATCAAGCCCCTGCTGGTCAACAGAAAATGGCAGATCTTCCAGTGGATCAGGCAAAGCCAGACATGCCCCCCTTTCACAAACGTTGGTATTGACTACTTCGGCCCATTTCAAGTCAAGCATGGTAGAAGCCGTGTCAAAAGGTATGGTAGAAGCCGTGTCAAAAGGTATGGTGTGCTTTTCACCTGTACAGCTATTCATCTGGAAGTAGCAAGCACTTTGGATACTGATTCATGCATAAATGCCATCAGGAGGTTTATTGCCAGGCGTGGTCCACCCAAGAGTATTCGATCTGACAATAATACCAATCTAGTTGGTAGTGAACAGGAGCTTCGTGAAGCACTCTCTAGCTTCAATCAATCAAAGTTAACTTCAGCATTGGTAAACGAAGGGATTGAATGGCATTTCAACCCTTCAACCCACACTATGGCGGCATTTGGGAAAGAATGATACGAACTGTACGCAAAATCATGCAGGTCCTAAAGTTAGATGATGAATATCTAAATACACTTTTCTGTGAAGTTGAAGCCATAGTGAATGGAAGGCCAATTACAGATGTGCCATGCAGTCGTAATGATCTGACACCCCTAACGCCGAATCACCTTCTGTATTTGAGGTCTGGTGAGACGATGCCCATTGGCACATTTTCTACAGATGATGTGTACAGCCAGCGCAGATGGAAACAGGTAAAATTTCTAGCAGATATTTTCTGGAAAAGATGGAGCAGTGAATACCTTCCCTTATTGCAGGAAAGAAAAAAATTGAACACTAGCAGGAAAAACATTCAAGTTGGAAATATTGTACTTGTCATGGATAGTTCACCACGTAATGCATGGGCACTTAGTCGTGTCACTGACGTTTTCAGAGACAGAAGGGACTTAGTGCGAACTGTGAAAGTTAAAACTGCTACTTCTGAACTCACGAGACCTATTGACAAACTGTGTGTTATTCTGAGGAATAGTGATTGAATGTGTTCCATGAAGTATGAAGAACGGAAAAATACTACAACAGTATTAATGGGACAAATGAACATTAACTGTAACTGACTGAAAAAATGTTTTATTTTAATTCAATGTGGGAAATTGGTTTGGATGATATTCAAAGTTATTTTACTTTTATTCATAAGAAATGTGTGTTTTGCCCCCAAGAAACCCATTTAGTAATTGTTTCAGTATTGTTCTACAATTAGAAGGCCGGTGTATTGTGGCCATAGTCAACTAATTACTCAAAAAGAGAGAATCATATTTTGTTTCCTTTAAGTTTCAAATTTGTATCATTCCCATTTCACTTACGTTCCACATTTAAATTCATATTTCATTTAAGATTGTAAGTTTTTGATAAACCAGTCTAAAGTTACCCTTCCATATCTGTTAAGGGGAGGTAAATGGCTTGGGTCCTGATATTATGCCATGTGCTCTCAGCATACACATGCTCAAATCACCAAGTCCACAAGCTATAGAGGTCTAAAACAATGGTAAGCCACTTACACTTTTGGTTTTATAGGCACTCATATGAATTAATTTTGATACTTAGATATTGCATGATAGGCAACTGCTGACACTGGCAATATTTCCGTTTGAATAAAAAATATTACTCCTCAAATATTTTGCACTATTAACAAGATACTGTAGGCCTTCATATTGTGCTTTTGAAACTTAAAACATCCTAAAATGTGTGACAAATTTAAGAATATCTAAGAGCGAAGGGAACAATATCCGCCACATTGTTCTTTCATGTAACAAGTTTTGCTATTTCAATTGACCCTAACCGAAATCAGATCGTTGTCAGATTTGTTTACATTGTATCACGGCTTTCTCGCCTGTCTCATTTGAGCTTTATGGCATACCAACTCAATGCCCAGTAGTGACTAAAAATGTTAAGCAAAAACAGTTTTGTAGTTACAAGAATTGTCCGTGTTTGTAACATTTGCAAAGTCTAGAACTGCTATTTGTTGTTATCAATTGGTAATGGTTTTGCACATGTGCAAAAGTGTGGAAATTTGTGCAAATTCTCACCTGCGGGCAGACGTGGGTTTCGTGAACGATGATGCAGACATTTAGCTTATCGTTAGGCCTATCGCGCTCCTTGCTCCGCTTCAATTTTTTTTGTCTTGACCGTAATGGTTTTGTTAAAGGGACACATCTAATCGCAGCAATATGTAATAGATATAGCGAGTGTGAATGGCATAATTCGAAGCACATCGCTTCGGAGGCATCGTTTGACCCCCGGAAGTAAGTCTGACAAATACACACAGCACGCCTGGCCTGCTGATTGGCCAAGATTGATGCATGTGCCAGTTTTGATTGACAGACTGGATCGATATTCTCGACTGGTTCGTGACCTCTGCTGTGCCACCCGCATGTGCAATTGGTAGTATAAGTAAGTATACATTGTTGTGCTGGTATTGGCATAAAACCTGCAATACGATACATCACGATACTAAACGTTTAGTCACGACGATATATTGTCAAAGTATTGTGCACTGAAGCTGCGATACGATACGAATCCCGATATAAGGGTGCCGATACGCACGATACTAAAATCCATAATTCTAACACCATCTATAAAACACCTTAAGATCAAAGCAAAACCATTTTAAAGTATTCCGTCAAATTCCGCCACCGTTTTTCAATGTTCATTGGGAAACGAGATATTTAAGTTTATACAAGGACTTTGTGAATGTTAATAACATGCACGTGCTATGTTTGACACAGTTCTTGATTCAAGAATTTCTGAGAAAAAGTTTACTTATGAAGGGAAAATAAGTAAGCATACATTTTAATCATCAAACAAAAGTAAGTCTTTTTTCTTGACAGATATTGCGATTCGGCAATTTTTGTGTTTACAATGGCGATAAACATCATCAATTTCCGAGTGTTATTGAGTATTTGAAGCACAGGAATATAAATTCCCATGCTTCAAATACTCCATAACACCCGGAAATTGATCAACACATGATGTTTATCTCCCAATTATACCTGATATAAAATCATTAACTGACCGTCAAGTTAAAGATGACAAATCAACATGTGTAGTTTTATACCACCAAACACGGGTTGCAGCAAGGGAGTTGTTATCACTGTATTACTTGCAATTTTAACTGCCTGAAAAAACTTATGGGCCGACACTGTTTTGAGGATAGAAACGGAACTTCATTGTTGCAAAAGAAATACATATAAGCATTTACTGTGTACTAAAGTTAAAAACTGTATATACCCATTTACTTAGGTCAGTTTTAAGATTTTTCTAGCAATGGCAAAGTGGGGTTGTTTAGTTTATGGATTCAAACAAATAAAATGTGTGTTTTTAATATCATAGGTAATAGACATATTTTTAAAGGACATGATTAAATATCGAGGTAAAAACACAGACATCAGATCAAATTTGATCAGTCACTATACCATCCAGGCATTAGGAAATCCAAAAAGTCTACACTGCTGGGATACTTTATTACAATCAGACAAGAACTACTGGGGATATTTTCAAATAATGACATCTGATTGGTGTCCACCCTTCCAAATGTCCCAAATGAAATTCTGCCAATTCTATGAACAGGAGCCAAGTCCCCGTGTCCGTCACGGTCGAGGGAGCAGGTACTGACGAGTTTGCAGGTATAGTCTGTTTGGCTCAAAAGCAGACCGATGAATTGCAATCTAACTCGAAAACTAATAAACATATAATACTCAATGAAACGCTGATCATAATCAAAACATCACACCAACTCTGTGATTTATTTGCAGAATATATGTACCAAAATTTAAAAAGTTGTGTAACAAACTATCATTAAAATTTTGACACAGTTCACTATTTGTTACGAGGGAGGAGTGCAGAGAAAGGAATAGCCAGGTGTTGGAGAAGCACATGCACAAGTGCCGACAAAGCTATTGATTCATTAATCTGTGCTGTGCCGTCTCCATCCTTTCTCGCACAAGAGAGATGTTTATCTCATTTGAAACTCACCTCAAGAATTCAGTTCTCTCAGTACTGTGCAGTTTGACCTTATTTTCAAGCATAACCCGCTGATTCTTCTCATGTTCTAAATGTTGTCTCAGCTCTCGGTGATGCTCCTGGAGTTTCAGTAGAGTCTTTGGATCTATATACAAAACATCCAATTCAGTGAACATAATTAATAACATAAAAATTTAGGCTTCAAATTTATGAAAGTCAAGACTGGGTATTCTTTTGCACTGACGTTCCATAGATGTTCAAATAGTACCATGATATGGTAGCTCAGTGGGACATGTAGTCAATGGCTTCAAATATCAACAATGGCAGCCAGTTAGCTTCAACGTTAAAAGAAAGTCTGTATTAATAAGGACAAAACACTTATTTCTAAATTTAATCATTTAACAAAATATGACATCATACATTTTGAAAGAAATTGTAAAGATTTAGTAATGAGCTCACATAAAGATTACTTGCAGACAGGTCATACTGTTGGTAATGTTGTGCTTACAGAAGTAGGATACTTTATTTAGTTTATTTTAGTTTCTATTCTCATTAATTTGAAGTAAACATAATCAAGTATGTTCTTGAAAGAGAAACATTACCAATGGAAAAGTCACATCTGTTCCAAATTCTATTCTAATGTGACACACTGAACAGAATAATCAATATTAGAAATGTCAATGTAACTTACTCATCTTGGGAAAAGGCTTCATCACTGAAATGTTAATCTGACACTCCCATTGGATAAATGCTGAACAAAAGTTAAGTTCTTGGACTTGAACCTGTACTGAGAACTCTGTAAGGATACACTTGTAAGAATAAGCTCTCTGAATTATCTGTACCATTCTCTTACCATTCATATTAAGATTAAGAAGCATATCTCTGTCAAAGGAAGAATAGTCTGCTGCTTTGCTCATCACAATGCTCTCTGTTTCAAATTCTGTGGAGGTGTAAGACAGGGCATCATCTTCAGCTGTCAAACTGAGGTTGTATCCTGAACTCCCAGCACCAAGAAGATTTGGGTAATAGGAGCTTACATCAACTCTGTAACATTGTAGAAACAACACCATATATTACCAGTAAGTGTTGGCAGATAGAGTAGTTCCAGAAAACAAGCTTGACATTTCATACATTTCTTAGCATTTTCTGAAAATGGCAACAGGTCATGTCTTGCATATTTAATATTTATGACGGAGTGACTTATGTGTTACAGTTTTAAACTATATTCCAGCAGTAGGGGTGATTCCTGTGGACTTCACTTTTCACACCAATGACCGTTTGATCCCCCCATGTTTGTACAGTGATTGAAACCCTCATCCCTGGACATGATATTACTGAAATGTTGCTCACAAAACAATGCCCAAGGTGAGCATAATGATGGACCCTAAGCTGCAGTTACTGCAGACTGAGATATGACAGGACATATATTAAGAGTAGAAAATTACAGATTGCATAAATATCAAAACACACATAATAGGGTATTGTTGGGTATTGCCAAAATGTTCGTATTGCGATATATTGTGATGTGTGTTGGCGTATTGCAATATGTATTGCAATATATTGTGAAAGTGTAACACATGGGTTAAGATAATGAAATTACTGTTTCCTTTCTTTTGAAACAATGCCACTGGCCACTGTCAGGACTCAGATGTAATTGTACAAGAGATCACTTGAAAATGTTTCCAAATTGAAGACTTTGCTTTAAAGTTTGGAAAAAGCATCTGCAGCGGCGTCCACCATTTTGGTTTGTTTATCCCTACAATGAGTGCCGGTGTAACAGGCCAAATTTTCCCCCTGGCCAAACTTTCCCCGCGGAAAGAATATCCTAGGGCAAAGCCTCCCCGGGGAAAGTTTGGCCCAGGCCAGATTCTCCCCGGGGAAAGTTTAGACCAGGGAATAAATGGCCTGCTACACCGGTACCAATCTATTTTTTTTTTATTTATATTGTTTAAAATTAAAGTCATGCAAATGCTCAAAACTATTAATGTATAATAATATAACAGAAATACAAATGTTATTACTAGTTTTGACTACATCACAAAAATTACCGATCGTAGCGGGTGAACCGGTTCACGAAAAGTGTACCGCAATATATCGTATTGTGAAGTTCGAATTGCAATATACCAGTTAACCGGTATTATCGCCCACCCCAATAATAGAGTACCACATCTACAGCTTACCTCTTGAGTTACATAGAATACAAGAGTCATCAGAAGATGACAAATCCCCCCGGCCAATCTGACAGAACTATACTAAAGTCCAAATCGTTTCCATGGAAATCATGGAAAATATAAATCCATTAACTGCCCGAATTATATGAAATGAAATTGTACAACATGGGAAAGAAAGTAATGGTGAAATAGTCCTGGACTAAAATGGATGGCCCTGGGTGTATTTAACTAAAGTGAGTCTTTTTTTCCTCCAGTAGTTACCGAAGATTACAAACAAAAACATCATATTATTACAACATGTACATAAATATTAACAATTGGATGTTTACAGACATATGTACAGAAGTTTATGACATGAAGAGGGTCATTCAGTATAACAGTTCACAAGATGATGTTTCAGTTCATATACATACAAAGAAAAGCGTAACAGAATGTTTTCCCATAGAGTTAAATTTATAGAGCTATGAAAGTCAGTTTCTGCTCCACAGAGAAATGACAACATATCTTGTTCATCATGCATTTCAAATATTACGTAAGTTTCAACATCAAGTTTATCAATTAAGTATGCAAAGAAATCATGTTGTTGTATTATTAAGTTTTCACAGTGTAGATGCATATGGAAATCATAATCAAATGTTTGTTTATTACAAAGAGTACACTCTCTTGATATTTTACCTCTTGAAGATATTTTGACACAAAATTGCAAGGAAGATATATAATTAGGGTGTTTGTATGCTAGTTGCCAGAGAATATGATAAGAGAGTGTAGTATGAATTGTTGCGTAAAATGACATGTTTGAACGATAGAAAGTTTGTGATCGCCATAATTGTTCTACATAGCTATGTACAGTAGCATTCACAATTCTTCTCCATACACATTTTGGAGGGAATATGCCTTGAGCATGTCGACGGCAGCTGTATTTCTCCTTTCTTCTCTCCTACGGCTGCCGCTCAACTATCAAATAATAAGTTGTACGTGCTACCTGTATCTGACGCACAGGTAATTAATGGGCTTTTGCCTGTGGCGTCAGGACAATTTAAATTGACTTTCTATTGTCACCTGTCAGCCTCAGACAACGACAGACGGATATCAACATTTTATGGTGTAGACTTTTTTAATTACAGGCAAATAAACAACTTATTAAAAAACTCTGTCTCCTAATATTTGTCTCGGACAATAAGAGAGCTGAACCTGCGACAAATATGATGCCCGAACAGGGACGGAGTGAAATTGGTCATCACGATGTCGACGATGAGCCTGCTTGTACGACGAGGCTGTCTATGTGTAACGTTGACTATCTGTGAATCACCGCCATGCTGTACTCAATCTACAATAATCTGATTGACGATCATTGTGAGTGACTGTGCATCCATGTTTCATGTACAACAACTATTTATCAACCATATGTTGAACTGTGAAACTGTCAACTGTGATATTGACCTTGATTGACTTTTAACAAGTATTCACCTGCAGGAGGACTTTATTGTTTTATGAACACTTCGTCATCATGTTACCATAACGTGTATGTTCTGGTGTCCTAAAATGTTCTGTGTATACACACATTGTATTCCATGATCTGTCATAATGTTTCATAAATATACTTACTTGAGTTCTATCTTATTATACACCTATTGTTTTTAGCTAGAATATTTACAACTGTAGTTCATACTTTTAGTTTATGTGCTGATCGTATTTAGTTTAGTACTTACATTTTTTAAGTTAGTTTAGTTAGAGTTAGTTTTATTGTCTTGTCTTAATATCACCGTCTTTTAAAGGACGATATTCAGTTTAGTCAAGTGTTGTCATCGCTCTTGATCGTTTGCTATTCTTCATTGTTTATATCATGTGCATATGTGTGTGAGAACGTGTCCGTCACTACACTTGCACTATTAATGGCTGCACTCGCGTTATACTCCTCCACATTCGCATTTCGTTACAATTAACTTTGTTATATTAACCACTAGGACTTAGTTTTACTCCAATACAGAGTTGGTAGACACATATACTACTAAGCAGTAACTGTTGTCTCCCTGTCCTGTACAGCTATCCTCTTACTTTACCTGTCAAGGATTATCTCCCTTGGGTCCCTTTCAGTGCGTGAGTCAGTGAGTTTAGTTTTACGCCGCACTCAGCGATATTCCAGCTATGTGGGGGGCGGTCTGTAAATAATCGAGTCTGGACCAGTCAATCCAGTGATCAACAGCATGAGCATCAATCTGCACAATTGGGATCCGACGACATGTGTCAACCAAGTCAGCGAGCCTGGCCACCCGATCCCGTTAGTCGCCTCTTACGACAAGCATAGTCGCCTTTTGTGGCAAGCATGGATTGCTGAAGACCTATTCTACCCCGGATCTTCACGGGTCAGGGCCCTTTTCAGCTGGGTTCTTCATTGTTGAGTTGGTTAATTAGTCAGGTTTGGTGAAGCAGGTGTATTTTACTGGTGTTTTCATACACTGTTGAGTTTGAGGGCCATACTGTAAGGGAACAGTGTCTTTCTGTGTTTATATTTAGCTTCTTGGTGTGTATATTGTCCTTACTTATACCCTTATCTGGTGATTCTTGACACATGTATATTGTTTAGTGGTGTGTTAAGTAATTCCAAATTCCACAAAGCGTCTGTGAGTTGTATACCACACACTATGGCATCATTGTGTCCACTGTTATTATCTACATCAGGTTCATCATGGTTGACATAGGGATGTAATTCAATAGCACACATTGTCATTTTTTACATTTATATCTATACAACCACCCACCTACCATACCTATACAACCTTTATCTGTGTCAGGGGAAGTACAAATCAACATGGCTCAAGGTGGAGAAGATCAGTTGGGAAATCAGGTCTGAAGTTTTGTCTGATGAGGATGAAGCTAAAATGTTTGCTTACTTGAAGAGCACTGGAATGTACGACATTCATCAGTCTACCCCCCAACCACAGAGGAAACAAATGTTCACACCACACAAACCAGGTTATTCCCCTTTCGCTCCTGGTTCGACAGCAAGTGCAAACCCTTGTTTTTATCCATAGTCTTTCTCAGCTTCACCCTGGCCTATATATCAACAGCCATTTAGAATATCCACCTTCTCAGGTGAAGATCTGGTGAATAAAGAGATGTAACCTTTGAGATGTGGAAGTTTAAGATCCAGTGTCTCATTATCCTACAGCCATGCTGACTCAAGCTGTTAAGAAGTCACTCAAAGGAAACACAGCTCGTATTCTTCTTTCTTTGGGTGAAGACACTACTGTGGCCGATAATATAAACCGACCTGAGGTTCTATATGGTACAGTTGTCACTGCTGAAAACTTACTCCAGGAATTTCACCAAGCTGTGCAAGGGGATACGGAATCTGTAGCCACTTGGGCTATTCCTCTTGAGGATTTACTTCAGCGAGCACTGGATATAGGAACATACAGAGATAGATCAGGAAGTAGTGCCATGTTAAAGAATCGCTTCTGGTCTGGACTGAGGAATACTCATTTAAAGGATGCTACAAGACATGCCTTTTATTCCAACATGGACTTCCCAATACTTATGAAGTCTGTTCGAATTATTGAGCAGGAGCTCACTGCCAATTCTCATTCAGTCAAACCAAAGATCACTCGAACACAACACCAGCCACAGAACATAGATTCATTCACCACCTCTTCTAGCAAGGTATCTGAGCAGCTATCGGAAGTCATGAATAGACTGGAGAAGTTAGAGACAGTTCAGAGGCAACCAACAACTGATAAGAAGAAGATACTTCAGCAGATCTTGGACAGATTAACAGCGTTGGAATTGAATAAGGAAACCCCACCTCAAGAGTATCATCGGAGACCCTACAGGTCGAGAGACAGAAACAGAGGGAGAGGAAGAGGTAGAAGAAGAGGAAATGCTAATGGACAATTGTTAAACTAGATCAGCCAACTGCTGCGGGGCAAGCGGAGGCTGAAGATATTACTAGCCCCTCATTGGACTTACATCAGAGGATGGTCGGCAAGGCAAACATAGGCTCCATTAACATTGATGGTACTGATTGCCCAGCACTGTTTGATACTGGATCCATGATTACTACCATTGTTGAAGGATATTACCGATCCAGTCTCAGACATCTTCATCTGAAGGACCTTACTGACTTCGAAGTGAAACTGGCAGGTGATAATGTGCTCCCATATTTGGGGTACATCGAGGCTAGATCTACATCCCCTTTGTTGATAAGGAGTATCTGGTACCTATACTTATTTTTTTTTAATTCTTTGTATTCATTTCAGAAGGTGTACATTGCAGGGTCGAGTGAAAATTGATATAACAGCATTTACAATACAGTACAACACAGGAGATATACGTTTCACGACAGTGACCTACTATAGGTTCTCTAAGTATTAAATTAATCTATTTGGCCATTTTTTTGTAAAATTTGGCAATCCTGTTGTTTTTCTTGGCTATGTTTCTTTAAACTATTATAATATCCCGTAGTATCTTCATGAATTCTGCTATATGTAAATGTTTATTTTTAATACTAGAAGTAAATATAAATCTTTTACCAGCCAGTATAATGTTGTTGATAAAATCATAGCCAGAATTAAATCCCAACAGGACTGTGAAATTTGTGAATACTAATTCAATATTAAGAATGTTTGAAAACATCTGTACATGTTCACAAGAGATAAAAACATGGACAATATCTTCAGGTTCTGTTTTGCCAGACCTTATTAGACCCATTTCACGTGGTGCAGGTATAGGTGTGGTTCTTGTGTCTCAGTGCGCAGGCTACTGTTTTAATCCACCAAAAGCTTGGCCGTCAGCTGACTATATGGTTAGTTCTACACTGTAATGACGTTGCAGTTTGAAAAAACGTATACATTGTACTAAAAGTGTTACCACGTAACCAAATTGTATAACATATTCAACCTGAGCCTTTCCAACAGAATCTTTTTTCATGAAACCTAAAACGTATATGCACTACATCTTGCTTGCCATCGGTGAATGTGCCGGCATTCTACGTTTGTTACTAAAGTTCCTACATAAAATGTACGATATGTCCCTCCTCTTCCACCTTCACTTTGATATCGATAGTCCATATCCAAATACATCACGCAGGTAAATGCAATTTGCAGTTTTGAACACTGTTTGAAATTCGTTTTTCTATGATATCATCCGCTCATTGTAGATCAAATATACTGAAAATTACATACATCGTAAATGTTGCCAGTTTTGACACTACTAAATCACCATTCACTGCGTTTTGCGTAATTTATAGTATGTCTTAATTCAAATGTCAAATTTTACTGGGAGAATTGAATTTAAAAGAAAAAGACATGATCATTGTGATCATCAGTAGTTTTGTTGTTGTTTGATCGAATCACTAATGCTTGTTCTGAAACATTGTCGATGAACCGAGAATCGCTGAGAATGTTTTGGAAAATACACAAACGTCAAAGTGAATTTTCAGCCATATTACATAGTGTCACATTTATGTCGGTTATGTTTCGTCCATAAAATCAATTGTATAATTCAACACCATCTTCCTTACATGAATCCTTGAATTCCTCATACAGTTCAAAATAAACTGACAAATGGACTTTGTCACCAATACGAAGTGTTTCAGTGAAATCTAACGCAATATATCGAGGATATGAGATGCCGCGCTGTGAAAGAATACTTGTTTGAAATGTATACAAAGCCAATCTCAGATTTTACACTGTGTATCCGTTCGCCTACTTGTTGCATACAGTTGCTCATTAGTTTTAGAACATGCATGGGAAAGGTATCGTAGCAAGCGATAGTTAAATAAAACAGGTGTATTCCAATGATTTTCTTGATTCATCACAACATATTATAGTTTTTGAAAGCATGACGCCATAACTGACGCAAACTGACGAACAACAATGACGGTACTTCTCTGACTATTTCCCTTGGTCACAATGAAAACAAAAAGAAAATAACAACCAGCAGACTGACAGAATTTTCGGACTACTTACATGTAACATTTATGCATATATGTTGCTTGAAACAACGAACATTTCCTTCGAAAACACCGGCGTACTTGTGTCAGTTAACACGCCATTTTGAAAAAGTCGCTTCCCGATAGTGATGTCATACAGACATCAACATTGTTATACATATTTGGTATTTTCATTGAGGTGAGGTTATGAATGAAAATACACATGATCAATCCGTCCTGCTGCTTACATTTTGTTCTTATGCTTCTTTCGTATTTTCACAAACTCTTTTTTCACGTGATTAATATCAGTATTATTATCTTTTGATTTGGGACTAGACAGGAGACCAGTTTAAAATCAAGTGGCACCAATTACGTCATAATCAAAGGGCAGTAACTCTGGCCTGTTTAGCTCGGCAAACAAATACCTTATATTGGCATAACATTTCAGCACTTATTTTGAGGGTTATACTTACATTGTAAGAAAAATGAGTGTATATTTTCAAACACTGGTATTAACTAATTAAAACAGTTCACTTTGATTCACATAAGAATAAATGTGATTTATTCGTGTACACTTCCCCTTTAATATCACATGTACAGTTTCTATAGTTAGTGAAAATATTACTCCATGGTAATGAGATAGTAATCAAGCTTTCCCATTTGCTACACAACATCAGTTTTTGTCAATTTGTCATAAAACATTCTACATCCTTTGGAAGATACAAGAAGAGAATGAAAAATTCTTCTTCATGGGAGTGTTCTAAGTCTAAGAAAGTTAACTCTGGCTCTCACTCGTCATCAATCAAATCTGAATCAAAATCTAGATCCAGGTCAAAATCTAAACCATCATCAAGCCAATTAGACCTGTCTGCCATTTCGGATTTATTGGCAAGTTATAAATGTGACATTCTATCTTTCATGGATAAGTCATTACGGGACATGGAATTAAGAAATGAAGCCACGGGATACCCGTGCTGGCTTGTGCCATACAACCGGGTCAGCGGTTATGGACAACGGTCGGCCAGCCCAACAATCTCAGAGCCACGTGCCGAGTGGATCAGAGGATACGGCTACGGACTCGTCGGCATACACCGATATGGAAAACCCGCCTTTGTTACCATTAGTGCCTGACCTTACGGACACGGACGGGTCATCAGTGCATCCCTTCTCTCAATTGAAGTTTGCTATGAGGGAACGGCTTTTGACAGTGCAACCCATGGATATATCTGTGGAGGATTTTACACCAGGTTGGTCATCTAATGAAAAATTGGAACAGTTACCTGGACTTTATCGAAATACCTTACCACCTCCATCCGAGGATCAGGAGATTGACATTCCCATGGACTTGGGAATATCAGGCTCTTTACCCCTGGAGCGGTTGCCTAAATTGTCATTACCTCATTCTTCATCCCTTAAGAAGGCATTGGAGAATTATAATTCAGGTCTCTCAAAGGCCACGAACATGAATAACTTGCCAAAGATTACTCACAAGCAGGTCTATGCAATTCATAACCGTCTTATCCCAGCTAGCCAACCTAACTTGGACAAGGATTTTGCCCTCTTGCAGGATGTCAGGGGTTTTCGAGATCAACAGCTCCCGTGTACATCTAAGGATCTTAAGGATTTAGACATGGTGGCTCGGGCATCCATTGATGTACTCTCATATTCTAATTGGTTTGCCGCAGGGGTGCAGGCCTTGCTACCTCCTCTTTTCCAAGTTTATTATGGGATTAAAAAGGACACTCTCGTATCCATGTCAGCTCAGGAAGTAGCTTTGGCCCATTACTTTCTGGATGTAGTTTACCAATCTCTGGCAGATGCTAGGGCCAATCAAGTTAATATCCTGGGTTGTCTCACAGCTGCTGACAGGACTCAAAGGTTGAACTCCGGGAGGAACCTCCCGGATGCATCCAAAGAATTTTTTATTCCAACTTCAATTGGATTCGGACACTACTTTTAACGATCAATGTCAGCAAGCCATTGAAGCATGTACGTGATGCTATGACATCTAGAAGTCTAAATCAGACTAGCTTCGTCGCTCTTAAACCAGAATAGAGGCAGGTCTAACCCTAGACCTAGGAGGGAAACACCTCCATCTACTTCCACGGCACGGGGTGATTCAGCTGCAGACTCTACAGCAACAGCATAATATGACAAGGGAAACTACTCCCATCTTGCATAAAAACTAATATTAGCTGCCCTTGAGTTATTGATAGATCACGGCCATTGCTAATCGCATGCAGACACCTTCCGTTACTATCCTTTCCTTGATTTTCAAAAAGGTATGTTGTTTCACACTTCTTCCAACACTGAACCAGGTGGGAATAGTACTTTATGATATTGACTCGAAAGTTATGTGGTTCACTACTGCAAATAACGATGTTTCTGATGATAAATCGGTGGTGCATTCTCCATGTTGTTGAAGTTTCGAGGCCAAACAAACAGTTTTATGCAATATAAAAGCAATTTCCAAACGTAAAGCTGAGTATTTGCTTGAAACAGGCACTAACTTGAATGCTACTTTGTTACAGACTACAATGATCTTAGGTCCTTACAACTGGTCCGGACCAAGTGTAAGTTTTGATTGTAAGTAAAAATGATCTTAGCCTAAAATCGCTTTGTGCAAGTGGATGGCGATTGTAGCGGAACCCTGAGATCGCGATCTTAAGGATTTATAATAATTGTAGCAAGTGGGCCCAGGTGTCCCGACATATTGGGATGCTATATATATGTGGAAATAGAGATTACTAAACGAGTGTCTGTCAGATACCATTTATCTTATGAGTTGTAAGATAAATGGTATCTATCAGACAGACACGAGTACAGTAATCTGTTTCTTTTTTTTAACACTTTATTTCTTTTTGATCTGGGTACAGCATATCATGCGCATTTAACAAGTCAGCATTTTTGTTGCTTTATATAGGAATCAAAGTACAAAGTCATTATCTATGTGAATAGATTGTGGCAAGATGACCAAAATGTAACAAAAGTGTCGTATTTGCAGTTAGAGTATGCATTAAATTTGTGTAAGTGGCAATTGTAATTCAATTTTGGTTTCAGACTAGCGAGAGAAGGTACAATGTTTGCTAACTTTCTAGAATATATGTACTCTTTAGTTAATATGAAAATAAAATTCAGTACATCATTTCTTCTCTCTTTGAATCCGAGAATAATGGTTTCTGTGTTCAATTTCAAATGGGTGTCTGTTTCATTTTCAATCCATTCTAGTAGATCTTGCCACAGCTTTTTGACATGTTTGCATTCATATAATAAATGAATCATACATTCATTTCAACATCGCAAAGTGGTGATTCTATTAGTTTGTACTTATATAAATCTTTATTGGTTGTAAGGATCCTATGGAGAATACGGTATTGAAGCCATCTGTGACTAGCACTATATGATGCTCGAAATGGTATATAATTATGTGTCTTCCATAGATTAAGAGTGATATTTATGTTCAATTCTTTCTTAATCTGTTTCTTACACACCATAAAATCACACCATTTTATGGTCGAATAGAATCAAATTTCATATTTTCTCATCGTAGCTGCGCAATAATACACAACACAACGTTTATGAATGAGTGACGTCACTTGGCTTCCTAATCACTACTCATCCCCAAAGTGACCCTCCACAAAAAGTTTCTGCCACCTCTTCGTGTCATCAAGGCAATAGTGATAATTGCAAACTAGATAAGATC